ACAGTCCCTTCTCCGATTCCTTTCCCTCTTCTCACGTTTTACTACGAGGGGAAAGAAGGAAACGGGCCTCACTCTCAACACGCTGCTTAGGAACCGTCTCAGCTCAATACCCACGTCCATCACTCACAAGTCCTACAGCAGGAAACCATTTTCCTCAGCTTCCCGCTGAGACCTACCAAGACTCTCGCTTCCTCTGTGTCCCAGTCACGTCTTCCTCGCTTCCTTCGGGCCCTCGCCAGCAGCGCTGGGAGTGTCCTTTGTACCAACGGTCTTTTCGAAGCAAAAGCGTCTGTTTCTATCAACCTCCTCAAAATTCTAACAGCCTCCGGTGACTACCTGACCCCAGACCCCTTCCTCATGTGGGGGTGTCTTCTACATTAACTCCCTCGGTATCAAGATCTGTGCTAGTTTTCTACTGCTGCAAAATAAATGATTGCAAACACGGGAGTTTAAAACAATAGCCAATGATTATTTCTCAGTTTCTGCACATCAGGAGTCTGGGCAGGCTCAAGTGGATTCAGTGCATTCACGGCTGAAACCCAGGTGTCTACTGACAGTGTTTACAGTTAGCAATGATTGCGCCTCGGATAAACTTCACTGGCTGTGACAGTGCCCCTGTGCAAAGCTACCGACAGTGTTTTCATGTGGAACTCAAGGTCGTCTTCCAGGCTCATGCGTGTTACTGGCAGAGTTTCGTTCTCTGCGGTGATAGGACTAGGCTCCCCGACCTGTTGTGGGCAGTTGGCCTCGGGTGACACAGACCTCTCCGTGGCCTCGCTCCATCCTGTGCTCATGGCCCTCTCCATCCTCAAAGTCAGCGATGGTGCATCACATCCTTCCAACCGGGCCCCAGCCGGTGTGGCTCAGATGGATGGGTGCTGTCCGTCCTGCAGACAGACAGGTCACTGGTTCGACTCCAGGTCAGGGCACATGCCAGGGCTGCAGGCTCCGTCCCCAGGCAGGGCAAACACAGAAGGCAGCCAATCAGCATTTCTCTCACACATCAAAGTTTCTTTCCCTCTCATTCTCCCTCCCTTCCTGTGTCTCTTTAAAAAAAATTAAAAATAAACATTTTAAAAATGCATCAAACTGGGATTTTTCATTTTGAGTTAGTGTGTGATTTGTGGACTTTGCCTCTGATATAACCTCCCTACCGTGAGCTTTTCAAGCATCATGTCGCCTCCATCTGAGAGCACACCGTGAGTAAGATACGTTCCTCTCCCCAGCCTCTGGCTCTCACTGGCAAATGGCAGCGCCTTGTTTTCTCAAGTTCCAGGGGCCCTGGGAGGGTTTCCTTTACATAGCCGGTGTGCATATCTGAAAGTCTTGCTTTTATCTTATCAGTGGCAGATTATGGACTGAAGTGCCTGGCACTCACTTGGGTGACATTTCAGAATTCTTCTGGAAGCAAATGATAAATGTATATAAACAAATACAAGTAATAAAATAAAATAGTCTTCATCCATTTTCATTGGGATTTAGCCAAATTAAACTGCCACGTATTATGATATTTGTTCACATTACAAAGGTAGACTAAATGAGAAATATATTTTGAGAAGTATTTCAGCTGTCAGTGATTAAGTGTGAAAATACTTTTGAAAAATGCTCATGTTGATGTACATTTTAATAAACACTAGTTAATTTACTAGTTAGTTTATTAATAATTAACCAAGCTAAGCAAAAACTCTATTTCACTTTCCTCTTTGAAGAAAAAGTTCCTTTTCCACCAACGACTAAAGAAGACAAAAAATTTTTGAACCTCCTTAAATTAAAAGAATTTAACCAAAGGTAGAGTGACATGTTGATTAAAACCAGAACTTCTTGTTATAAAACTAGAAAAGAGAATATTGTTTTATGAATTAATTTATAAACTAATATTTCATTCAAAGTCAAACAAATCGTCAATCTCTCTTTAACTATGATACTCACATTTTCTGAGCCTTAACTCTTTAAAACCCTGTTATATTGAATAAAAATGTAAATGTTGATAAACACAGAGCCTAATGCTGAGAAAAGTGTCAGTGTGGATGGATATATTATATATATTTATATATATCTGGGCTGTATTTCTATTTATTCACGTTAAGTGGCTCATTGAATTTAAGAGAAGCCGTGTGAGTCAGGCTCCCTTCATCTGGAGGCCTGTGACATAGAAGGGCATTATTCTTTTATAATAACACAGACTTTGTATAAGCCTGCTTTTTTTTTTTCTCTTTCTGGTGGAGAGTTTAAATTACGTGTCAAATTCTCAAAGGTTTCCATTCGTGGTACTTGAAGGATAGGACCATAGTATCTTGCACCTCATTCCCTCCCATGGCGGAGTATAGTTCGCCCCTTGAGTCTGGCCGGTCCTGGTGAACTGCTTTGACGTATACAACCGGCAGAAGTGGCACAGGGCGAGTTCCAGAGTAAGGCCTCCAGAGGCTCTTTGGTCCTCACGGAGCTCTGAGCCCACTTGCGGGGAAGAAGCCTTGGGAGAAGGCGCACACGCCTCAGCCTTTGCCGCCAGCCCAGCTGGTGACCAAACAGGGCAGTGAAGCCGGCTGAGCGCAAGTGTACTAGAGGGGGTGTGGGGGGGACCACCCAGAACCACCCAGTCAGTCCACACAACTGGGAGGAATAAGAAACCAGTGCCGTGTTAAGCCACCAAGCTGTAAGTTATGGTATAAGATATATAGCAACAAATAACTGGCACACCAAAAGTCTAATACCCCACTAAAAGTTGATTTAGAGGTGAAAAACGAGTTTAGCTTTCAAGTTTGTCCTCTTTACTACAGAGCCTTTTTGGCAAATGTGCTACAAAAGACTACTGTCGACATTTTAATGATATTTTTCTTCTACTAAGTCAGAAGGTGTTAATATTGATTTTTTTAAAAGTGTATTATTTTAGAATATTTTTGTGATTTCTGAATTAATTTTTATTGTATAACAATTATATATAGACTTTTGTTATCTTTGAAAAAGTCAAAGTACACAGTTTTATCCATACGAGGCCAAATCCATACGAGGCCTGCGTGTGCTGTGCTCTGTCCTTGTCTGAAAGGTAGGAGGGGATGCCCCAGGGCACGGCAGAGCGCCCCCTGGAGCCGTGCCCGCCGGGCATTTTATTGCCTAGGAGAAACAAGCCCTGATGTATCAAACATTGGAAGCAAGCTTTGCTAAATGTGCTCAGACGGCCCGGGGAACTGCACCCACTACCTTGACACACTGTAGCCCGTGCAGCGCGCCGGTGCATGGGAATGGCTGCCTGCAGTTGAGCAGTGCGCAGCCTCTCCGCTGGCTATGTGTGGTGGCTCTGCCCCAAACCTAACCTCCTAATGTCCCAACTGTGATTCCGCCTTACAGGTAAGCAATTAGGGAAAGCTAAAAGCCATAGAAATAAAATGTGAAATCAACTTTCAAGCAAAACAAAAAAAAGTTCTAAGTGAGTCTGAAGATCAATTACACCTTAGCTATCACTGCGATTAACAGCATTCCACCATGGTTAGTTGCCATAAAAAAACAGACCCACTAAACCAAAAGTTTCTGTAAACTCTCTCTATTGGGCAAAAATTCTTTTGATGATCACATTTAGCAAATTGTTAAGTGGAAATGATAATATGATGGACATATTTAATTTTTTTCTCTAAACATAGTTTTACAACCAAGAACCTGAGGCAGTCAGTGAGTATAAAGCTGCATGCAAGCTAGGTTTATAAACCATCTACCTGGTAATTAAAACTGCTTAAGCAATTTTGTAGATTTTCATAAATTTGTAGATTTTTAAAAATCAATTTCCTTGATAGATTAAATTCCAGATAATTTATACTCTCCCATCTTTTTTCTGTTTCTTGCTTTGGAAAAGGACCTCAGAATTCACAGTAAATGAATTCTAGTTAAAATACTAAGATCAACCAGCCTCAAGCGCCATGGACAAGATGGGAGTAAAGAGAAGGGAAGAGTCGGCGCAGCCCCCGCCCCTTCAATTATCTGTTTTTCTAGGTGCGTGTGATACCTATATTTTGAAATTTCCTGAAACCAGATGGAAATGGGCTTAATATTTGGGAAATAAACACATTCAAACCAGTGGAGAATGAGAGATGGACAGCTCATGGTTTTAGCATAATCAAATAATAAAGATAGTACATATTCTACTCTATCCGTTGACAGAAAGTAAATTTACTTTCCTAGCAGAAATCTGAATGATCCAGATCCACGCGAGGGAGAACCACTGGCCTGCCTAATTCACCAGTTCCTGCCTGTGGCCAGGCCTCTAGGGCCGTTGATCTGACTCTACAGTCTGACCACCACCATGGACTTTCTCCCCTATAGTGGCCCCTGGAAGTCATCACACTGTCCCTCAGGGCAGGAGCCCCAGGCGCAAGGACTGCTGATTTCGACCTCCCTCGGGGGAGGTCAGGTCCTGTCCACTGGCGGTAGGAACGCCGCCCTATACCCCTGCTATTTTTATTTTTGCAGCATTCTTCCCAGCGTTTTCCTTCCTGCTCCTAGGCTCATCCTGAGAAAGGAAAAAAATCCCCGGAATTTAATGGATTGAAAGGGAACCCGCACGCCTGAGAGCGAGGATGGGTCTGCAGTGGCCCTTTGGGGCAAGGGGGCTGAGGGAGAGGAAGGGGCCCACTCTCCCAGCCCAGCTGCTCCTCCTACGAGCGGATCTGGCCCCCAAAGCCAGCGAGTCCCTCGGGCCTGGAAGACAAAGGAAAGCTCAGGGCCGAGCGGTGACGGGGTGGGTGGGAGCAGCGACTCGCGTGAGCTCGGGGACGTGAGAACGCAGCCCCCGCCCCCTTCTCCGCCCCCCGCCCCGAGAAGGCGGAGCCCCAAGGCCGCTCCGAGAAAGGTCTCCCCACGGCGCGAACAGCGGGTCCCAGGCCGCCGCACACGCCCCGGCACGGGCGGCGCCGGGCCCGCACGTTGGGGGCGGGGCGAGGAGGGGGCGGGGCTGGCGGCGAAGAAAGGCTGCGGGCCCGGAGGGGGCGGGGCCTGAGCCGCGGCGGGGCGGAGCCGGCCGGTCCGGGGCTGCTTGAGACAGTCATTGCCCTGGCGGCGGCGGCGGCGGCGGTTGGTCGGTGGGGGCTGGGGGAAGCGTGACCCCGGCTGCCGGGCAGTTGGAACGGGCAGTTCCCGGGGTCGAGCGGCGGATCGGAGCTGGGAGCGCGCCCCGGGCAGGGCGGAGCAGGCGGCGGCTGCTGGAACCCCGGGAGCGCTGGCTACGGCGGCGTCTCAGCGGAGCAAGTGTCGGGGGCTGAGATTCCGCGGCGGCCACGGCGGCTGCGGCCGAGGTAACCGAGGGGCGGCGGCGGTGGGAGCTCGGGACTACCGCCGGGGCGCGGACCTGACCCACCCGCGCACTTTCCAGGCTAGGACCCCGGTCGCCGCCGATCCTCTCTCTCCGCCGCGGGCCGGGAGGGGGCGGGATCGGTGCGCGGGATGCGGGCGCCGAGCCGGACCCGGATCCGGAGGCGACCCCTCCGCAGGGATTGGCAAGGACGGCGGGCACCCCTCCCCCTTCGAAAGACACACCCGGTGTCGGGGCGGGGCGGGCTGTCCCGGCGTCTGCGAGGGAAGACCTCGGAGGGTGGCTGCACCTCCGTCCGCAGCCCATCCACGGTGGCCCCCCTGTGGCTCTTCGGGGCTGCTCAAACGAAGGTGGTTCTGTGGCTGGGGATCCCGGAATTCCTTTTGTCTGTCAGCCGAAACCGGCGGCCGGAACTGTAGGCAGACACCCCCTGCGCCGGGGCCGTTGGCTCCTGGCCCCTCCTGCCTCGGAGGGAATTCTCCCCGGCAGCCGTTCCTCCGAGCGCCGGAGGAGATTGACTCCTCGCCCCCATCCGGAACCTTCACCTCTAGCGCAGAGCAAGGAAGGATTCACGTTGTTCTGTGTTTGGATTTATCATTCGCGTGAGATCATCCCCCTCCTCCCTTCTTTTTTTTTTTTTTTAACCCGTTGCCACCCAGCCTCCGCCATGGCAGTCATTCCCTAGATGTTGCAAACTATCAACAAAGAAGTGTGGCTAGTCAAGTAAACAGAGTCCTTGACTCGCTGGACTGGGCGGGTTAATAGAGCTTCCTTAGCTGGCGCCCGTCTGCCAAGCTAGTGGAAAGATCTCTCTGGCTAGGCTTAAGGATGTTACTGTGTGAGCATGTCTTCTTTTTTCCCCTCGTCAACAGTGAGGTTTGAAAAATCTAGGGTAACTTGGTGAAAATGTAGCTGTATGGGAATTATGACCACGGTAGAAGAAAAATACAGAAAGGAAAACATAATCAGGATGTCAAGGTAATTGTTGAAATTTTTGAAAGTGCAAAAATATGATTTTTGAGGTTAACTGGTAAGTTGTATCCTTCGATCAGTAAACTTTTAATGTAGATTTTTGCACTAAGATATTTTATTCCAGTTACTGGTGGAAATTGTTGATTACCAGGGTGTCTTATGAAGAGGAAACTGTGAAAAGGTTCATTAAGAATCTGTCTTGAAAAATGCACTTTATGAATGCTTTGCATGAAGAGATGCTAACACTGGTCTGTCATTTTCGCCACACAGTTGTTGCCTCCCTGGCAGTGGTCCACGTGCCCGAAAGTGGCAGGCCTGGTGGTGTGAGTGGCTGTCCTTCCCGGAGAAGTACAGAGCTCCCTACCTCCTGCGTACATGGGGTCTCTCTGGTGACAGTGACTGTAACGGACACTTTCTCTGATCTGATTTTCAGATACAGGAGTAACACTTGGAATCTGGAGAAGCATTTTGTACAAAGTGAAAGATTGGGCTTTCTCTTTAGTTTTCCAGATGCATTGTCTCATCTGCATACTTGAAAGACCCACAGTCACATAAACTCTGGTTGTTAGCCATGAAGCTGTGTGACCCATCAAGATAGAGAAAGGCTGCTGCTGAGCTTGGGAACCAGGCAATTTTTCACCCGTTCAACAATTAAACCGATACATTCTCTGCTGATACTCAAGAATAAAGAACCAGATAAAGTCACGCACATCCTGTGGACCGATGGACCCTGTGGCTGTTGAATCTCACTGTAGTAACTGGTTGCTCTGTCCTTCCAAGTTAACTTGATACGCAGGTTGCGTCCCAGCGGACGTGAAGACCTGTGTTGATGTGTCCCGATGTTAGCGAAGGTTGAAGACACGAAGCCTACTATGACTGACCCTTGGGAAGAGAAAGTCTGCAAAATGGCCCAGACGAGCTTACTGCAGGGGAAGCAGTTTTACTGTAGGGAGTGGGTTTTCCACAAGCTTCAGCACTGCCTCCAGGAGAAGACGAACGGCTGCAACAGTGCTGTCCACACACCGCCCCTCTCAGGGAATTCTGGGAGCAACGCTAGTGTTGTCTCTGGCAAAGGAGCCGCCTGGGGTGTGCTGTTGGTAGGAGGGCCCGGCAGTGGCAAGACGGCCCTGTGTACTGAGCTCCTGTGGCCAAGTTCACCTACAAGCTTGCAGAGAGGTTTACATCGCCAGGCTCTGGCCTTTCATTTCTGCAAGGCCCAGGACTCGGACACGTTGTGTGTCGGAGGGTTTGTTAGAGGCCTGGTCGCCCAGATCTGCCACAGCGGACTGCTCCCAGGGTACGAGGACAAGCTGAGGGACCCTGCCGTGCAGAGCCTCTTGCAGCCCGGGGAGTGCGAGAGGAACCCCGCCGAAGCATTTAAAAGGTAATGATGAGAATGGCACGGTGTGCCAGGTTCTGTGCAAAAGTTAAAATGGGTTCTGGATTTTTTTAGTTTTTTAAAAATTTTGTGGGGTGCTTGTACTACGGATGTAAATTTGGGGGATAATCTGTGGTTGTGAATAAACCAGTTGATTTGAATATTGAAGGAAACAAAATTTAAGCTTTGTTTGCACAGGCTATGGATTAAAAGGATGTCTTTTATAGTAACATTTGAAGCACTGTGAGAAACATTAGTTTTCAACTTTACGCCAATTATGTACTTACTCTTCCAGTATTACCTGTAAGTGGTTAGGGACACCTGTCCTTACGGTGGAGAAGAACAGTTAGCTACCCGGAATCCAGGCTGCATTTTTAGGAAGGGCACACTTACTGGGCCTGACTTTAGAGGAACTCTCATCGGAGAACCTACTATCTGTGTTTGCAGTGTTACTCCTTTAAATAAGGAAGGTTCTCTTTGAAAGAGACCACTGGCCATTGAGAATCCGAAGAAAGTTTACAAATGCACTTTGCTGTTTATTCCCTTCAAGTAAATGGAAATTTTGGTGATATTTTGATATAGGTGGTATTTACAAAATAATGAAAATTAGGCATCATTTTAGTACTTTTACCAAGTGATACCAAAAAAAATTTTTTTTTACCTAATCTCAATTACGCATTTTTCCACAGTAGAAGGAGTGGTCTAAGAAGTGGTTTGAGGGTTTTTTTTTTTTCCCTGAGTGATTCTGGAGTCAAAATGTGTTTTTAAAAAAATGAGCCCTTGAAAATAATTTTTTGTATGTTACTCGTCTGCTCACTGTAAAAGAAGGAGGCGGCAAATTGTTTTGCAATTGCTGTTGCCTCGCTGCTGCTTCGGTCACTTAGCCATGCACTTTCGTCCCCCACACGGTAAGCAGTTCTTAGTGTGGTTCCCCAAAGGGGCAGGGGCGTCCGCAGTGAAGGCGCGTGTGGGTGTGTGTCTGCGTGAGGGTCGCTAGGAGTCATCTGGGCAGGATGTGAATTGCTGTGGAAGTGATTTTGCTCTTTTGATGTCCTCAGATCTAATGGTATGAAATGTATGAATTCTGATGTGATGTGAAACTAGCAGTGACAGTAGCACGCAGTATGTGTGAGCCGCTGTTCTAAGAGCTGTGCCAGTAATAGTCCTGTGAGGCAGGTACTGTTGGTCCCATTTTACAGACGAGGAAACCGAAGCACGAGAGCCGAAGGAACTTGTCCAAGGTTACAGGCTAGTTAAAGGGCAGAGCTGGGGTTTGAAAGACACACGTATGTATACAGGTTTGCGATCACAGACATTCTTTGGAGGACTTAGCGGAAGAGGAGGGGTTTTGAAGTGTGTGGAGACCGGGGCGTGTCAGAGCTGTGGCCCGAGCGTGGTTTTCAGATCACCCGTGGACATGAGGAGTGGCAGTCTGGAGTGATCGTTGTGACTGGCAGTGTAGAATTCAAACAGGTGAGAGGTTTGTTAAAGTCAGCAGAGGGTGGTGTCTTTGAAGGCTGTGATGTTCCTGTAGACCTTTAAAATGTGTAAGTGCTAGCCAATAAAACTCAGGGCAAATCTGTTATCTTTTGCCGCAGGCAAAATATTTGGGTTAAAACTATTACATCATCCTTAACTCAGCGAGGACATCTGCCCAGGAGATGCCTGCGGCGCAGGTATGAGAGGCCAGGTGCGGCGGACGGTGTTCAGCATGCCGTCGCCGTGTGGAATCGGGTGTTGCCCTCAGTATAGAACTGGGCTTTCCAAGAGGCTTCAAGTCTCTCTACACAAACAAGTCATTTTTGTCAACTTAATGCTTTTTCTTAAGATACTGTCACTAGTTGAAGAGCTGAATTTCCATTGCTTATAAATCATCTCATCAGCTATTTGGATTTATTGACACCTTAGAAAATCACTTCCAAAGAGTATAACTAACCATGCACTTTATTTCATTGGAATTCATATTAAAATTCGACTCCTTTTAAATATTTGAAACCATGTCTGATAGCTGTGTATTTTTGATATGTCCTGATCCTGAGCAGATCTTTCTCGACAGTGAGATTCCGTACTCGGTCCTCTCCTTTTCGCTCCTGTGTGAATTTCCGTCATTGACTCACGAGAGAGAGCTAGGAAGCAGCCGCAGCGGGTGTGAGGTCACGCGGGCACCAGTTACCTGACGACCAGACGAACGGAAGCAGCTGACAGACGGTGTGTGCCCCGGTCTGCATTTTGGTGGAGAAAACCCACTGGGTCTCCTTGGGCCGCTGGGTGCTGTACCTTACCTCCTGCCGGAGCTTTCAAAAGCCTGGGTCACTTTTTATTTTTTTTTTATCATTAAAGTGATTAATCATTAAACAAATGAGATAATCTTAGTATTGGAACAACGGTTTCTGGTAATTCATGAGATACCTACTTCCTCTACGACTGTGAAGCTACGATACAACCACAGCCAAATGGACACGTGAGAACACAATTCAAAGTTAAAAAGAAACATTTTTGCGTAGTCTACGGTGGCATTTGACGATGTAGACCTCTACTTTTGGACAGATAGTCAAGGTTTCCTTGTCGGTTCTATTAGTGACTGTGACTGATTTGTTAAACAGGTCCTTGTGAGAGTTTTCATTGGAATGCATTTTATTTAGCCAGGGTCAGTATAGCGCAACAGGTGGACCGTGGGCGGAAGATCCTTGTTTTCCAGGAGTTAATATTTTGGGGGAGATGGAGATCAGAGTAGGTGATTATAATGATAGGGTCAAGGCTCCCGAGTTAGGGAATCAGGGGTGGGGTAGTGGTTTGGGGTCCTGTGCCTGGTTTAGCAGCACAACTGGAGATGGGTATTTCATCCAACCAGAAACTCCTTCCTGACCTCCTGTCCCCACTGTCGTGGCCCTTGAACCCACAGGAGATGTAGATTGATGTGGGAAATAAAAACCTTTGTTTTTCTTTGTTTGACAATCTGCAAGACCAGATGTGAGTTTTCTGTGCATGGTGTTAATTTTCCCATGTTGACTAAAAAGATTGTGTTCTTGTGATGTGGATAGGAGTTCATTAAACAGCTTCAGGGTCACCACAAATTAAGTGTAAATGGAATAAAATTGTGAAGAGGAATGAAGGACCCATGGTTCTAAACTCTGAGAGTCAGCAGAAATGTGGACATGGCGAAAGGCCAGTGTCTTGTGAGGGTCGGAAACAGGAAGTCTGGACTCTGACGTTTCTTTTTGATGTCGAATAGGAATCTTTAGATAGTGGCATCTCCTATTTATCTCCTCCTTCTGAACATTTATAGCTCTTCATGTGTATCTCGATAGATTGTAGCTTCTTTTGTAGTTATTTATGCATGTCTTCTGTTTTCTCCTCTGCTAGGCACATGCTTCTTCATGACATTATTCATGAGTGATTAATTTTTTATATTCACAGTTGTGCTTTGAACAGCACTTCTCATAGAGTAATTGCTAAATGATGATCAGCCGAAAGACTGAATAATGCTACTTAACTATCTAAAGATGTCTGAATCTGATTAAAGGGCAGCAGAAGCTCTTGCACATGAGAGGAAATAGGAATGCTGGATCATTCGGGTCAGTGTCACATGCAGACCGCACTGGTGTCGTGATTATTAATTTATCAGCCCGCTGTCTGCTCTTCGGCACGTATGTGTGTGGCACAGGTCCAGATCGTTGTAAGTGGCCCGACGTCCATCCTCCGTCTCAGCTGGCTGCAGGTGTCTTTGGCAAACTCGGTCAAGGGACGAGGAGCAGAATGGGACCAGAAAGTGTGTTTCCTTCTTACCCTCAGTTGTGGTTCTTTTCGAGGCAAAATACCCCCTTTCCATGGTCTGCCTTGTATACCTAATACCATGTAAGATGACTGTTCCTGAATGCTATCCATCCCTAAATGTTTTCAGATTAAAAGATTTTGTAAAAGTGTCTTTACTGGTCAGATTTGGAATAAAAGAAAAATATTATCTTCATAATCAAACTTCTACATTGCCTGTAGTCTACGATGGTTGCTTTCACTGAAATGTCTGTTGTTTCCGAGCTTTAACTGTTAAATTCCCTTTAAGACGGCCTTCCGTTCATTCAGCCTCTCCTACTTCCACTTCCTACAGTGAAAGGGAACCTTTTCTTGCCCCCCCAGATGGGCTCGCTCTTTCATACTTCGTGTCTGAGTGCAGCTTCCCTTGGTGCCTGGCACTATCTGTCATTTACGGAACTGGCCTTAACCTTGAACCCCTTCAGCGTAATGACGGCACCACGTGCAAGTCCAGTGTACACGCCTGATGTTAGCCACATTCTTAGCCCTGCCTGGCCGCGCTTTTATTCGTGCATTTCCTGATAACTCGGACTTCTCTTCGCACCAGAGAGAGTAAAGTGGTGCCCCACGGGTTAAATATGTTTTTACCCAATTCAGGACATTGCACACACATATCCAAATTATTGTTTGTTTCTTGGGGAAATAGAAAGGAAATTTTGACAATATTAGATTCTCATTCCTTTGAGGCAGTAAACAGTTGCGCTGAGTTAGCTGCTGTCTTTAGATGCCAGTGCATCCTAATTTGATCCAGCCCCTCCCCACCCCACACACACTCTGTTGTTCTGTCCCAAGACCATTTCATTTGTTTCCTCCTCTGTCCGGGAAAAGTCCAGCCATTGTTAATATAATGAGAATGGGTGTAATCTGGCAGCCAAGGAGAGTGGACTGGAATGCGCATGTGTGAATAATGACGACTTCACTGTAGTAGTCAGTGGGGGTGGTAGACGCTGTTGAGTGAGCGTGAGTACTGTGTGGCCGTCACATTCAAAATGACTGAGCGAGCAGAGCCATGAATCTGTGTCAAGTTTTGCGTTAAGCTTGAACATTCCTCTGCGGAAACTATTTGGATGATTCGGAAGGCTTTCAGGGACGATGCAATGAGTGCAGCACAAGTAAAAGTGTGGCACAAATGCTTCAGAGACGGTCGAGAATCTGTTGAAAGCGATCCACGTTCTGGAAGGCCTGCAACAAGCAGA